ATATATTACGTGTTGTGATTAAATTTTTTATTTTTTAAGTTATTAACTTTTTAATACACATATTTCACTATTTATATCACCTATTGTATCGGTCACACAAAATATTCTCTCATTTTTTTAATGTCCTTTTTTAAAGTTAGCATTTAATTATGCGTTGTGGGCAAACATACCCAAAACAAAAGATGTGAATATCATGTTTACCTATCAAGAATGGACATCCCAATTATTCTAAATTAGGATTTTGAGTTTTTTTTTAGTTATAGTTCACTACTAATCTAAGGCCACTTCAAAACAAATAGCTTATAGTTTAGTTGGTTAAACGCATTTCATCTTAGCATTAGAAGTCTCGTGTTAAAATCTTTCTTCTTGTAAAGTTGTAATTTAAAGTAAATTGTCGTACTGTTTGTTTAAAAAAATGTCAGCCCAGTTTTCAAACATAAATATCCAATATTGCTCACCACCCTGGCCCCCATCCTCCATCCCGTACTACCTTTCTCTTTCTCTCAAATAAATTTTCAATACTTCAGCTATTAGGTAGTCCAATTTTATATATTTTAAGTAAATAAAAATAATATTTTCTTAATTTAATAGTAATCGTTTATTTTTCGTACTATAAAGTAGTTTAAACTATTGAATAAAACTTTCTCTCGCTCAATTTTCTTCTTATCCTACCACCATCAAGCGGCCCCCTCCCTCTCCCTAAACCATGTGATGACAAGCATGTGTATAATTTGCAACGAGATCAAACCAAAATTTCTATCGGACAATTTCTACACGAATTATTGGTTGTTATCGGAATTAGAACGATTTCAACGAAATTAAAATCTCTTGAGGAAGGGTGGCTGAGTGTAAGTGATGGCGGAGGAAGGGTGGTGGAGTGCAACGTTTATTTATTTTTTAAATTTTAAGTGGGTGTTTTGGATTTGAATACGGGCAAAAATGGGTTTTGAGGTGTAAAAGAATTTTGTAGGGTGAACTAAGATTAGCCTTTGGAGTGTAAATAGAAAAATTATATTCACCGGTTTGGAAATATTTTCAAAATTATTGAAAGTACTTTTAGAGGAAAATTTTTATTTAATTATTATGTGCTTCCTTGAATAAAGCACTTTAAGTGTTTTTTCTATAATTTACTTGCATTTCTACTAAGAATTGGTTCCAAAATTATTTTCAACAAAAACCTTTTCAACTATTTTAAAAATATTTCTAAAAAGTCTTATGGTCATAGGCATATTTACTATACAAAATCATACATTAGAAACTAGGTTGACTAGACTAGTAGTTGATCTTATTTTCATTCTTTCTTTCTCCAATTCTTAACATACCATATCCATGATTTTCCTCGTTTCAAGTGAGCATACCATAAAAGACTTTGAAAACCAATACGCAAAAAAAAAATGCATTGTCATCATTTGTTTATTAAAGTTACGTGATGAAAAAAATGAACACACAATTCTTTGCCGAAATAATAGACAAGATAATAAGTTAATTTAGGATTTGCTTGTACTGAATCCTCATGTGCATGTACCATTGCTTCCTTTATTTAGGCAATTTAAAGCGACACAACCATATTATTACATGGGAAATGTGGATAGTAATTGTTTTTTTAGCAGTTAGAAATTAGGGTCAATTTCATTTTGCATTTTATGTTTGGAGTTCGTGTTAATTTTAGTTTCATTTGAAAAAGAGAACTGTTATTAACACTTTAAAAATCTCATTATACACTACTCACAAGTGACACACCCCAACCGAGGCCAGGGCATGCTGGTCGTCACGCGGAAGTGACGTAGCCATGTGCACAGTGCGGAAGCTAAAGGAAATAATATAAAAGTACGAATAATTTAAAAACTAGCAAATATAATGTGATAAAGTATGTGCTAGCGTAAGTAAGTCGCTGAATTCAGAGCCTACAGCCTACAACAGTCCAAAAGAAACGATACAACAATAGTGCACCCGAAGGTGACCCTACATAGGTGAGTGTCTGTCAGAAATGCCGGGACGTCCTCTGGGAAAACCACCAAACCCACTAAGCTATTAGAACCTGGAGGGGCGCAAAACAAAAGCGTGAGTGGGCAAAAACAAATTCTTTGAAAACCATTTCATAAAATACATTCTAACCCCTCGCCGTAAAACCTGTATACTTCCCAGAAAATAAACATATATACGTATGTAAAGAGATGCCAATTGTACTCAAGGATATGCCAATCATGCTCAAGAATGTGCCATGTCAAAGCCTCATAATGGTATGCAAGTGCTCAGGTACAAATCACATCAATATCATGACATCTGACAGCCGGAGTCCCCTAAGTAACCTGTACGGCTGAATCTAGAGCTCAAATCTCAATCACTAAACCTGCCCACGAGTCGAAACCACCTAGAGTGGTCTGTACGACAGGCCTGGGTGTAAAACATATAAACGCTCTAGTGCTACGATCACGTGAAGGCTGTGCGAATAATCGCGGGTCACCTACGAGTCGGAACCACTTGTAGTGGTCTGTACGACAGGACTGTGCACCTAACTTGGATTCAAGCTGAGCGTGTGGTGCGGGAGGTGAACAACACGTGAAGGACTGTGCCCTACTCTGGGCGGGAGCACTAACACCGGGGGTGCATGTTATGAGCTCTTTAAGCACCTCTAACCACTATTTAATGCAATCGTTAAATAACGCTTACCTGACACTTACCTATGCCTCCACAGCACCAACATATATATATATATATATGACATATGCATAATTGAATATATAATTAAACGTATATGCCACTAATCATGCATAACCACCAATTATATAAAAAGAATGGCATATAACGAAGCATTTATACCAATTTCTGGGAATTTATATGTATATAGGTATATACGGAAAACAAAAGCCCACTCACTGGTATGTGGAAGGGTCGTAGCCCCCCTGCCTCGAGTGTGCACGCTCGTCCTCGGGATACGTGTCACCCATATGCGAATTAACTATAAAAACGTTAACTTTAAAGCACATAACCGTCCGTTCAAAATAACTTCTCATACATTGCTTAAAATGGACAAATGAATATACCAACGTGATCTACACAACCTCAGGATCACAACCATATTTTTAAAATAATTTTTGGACCTCTCACGCGCCCCCACGCGCCAAAACAGGCACGGACCCACGCGCCCCCACGCGCCCCCACGCGCGGCCACGTGCCATGCACACTGACGGCGTCAAGTGACGGCGTCAGGAATATTCCGTTAAACCAACGGAATATTCCGTTAACCCTAAACTGACGCCGTCACTGCCGTTAGGAATATTCCGTTAAACCTAAACGGAATATTCCTGTTTCTTCTCTGGTCAGTCCCCCATCGCCGGCGCCGTCGCCGGAAAACCTGTAAATCGCAATTTCTCGCTCGTTTTTTCACCTTTTTTCACGTTTCTTGCACCAAAATCAACCTTAGAACTAGTAGAACACGATCCTACAAGTTTTAAGGCCTAAAACTACAAGATTATACCTGTCCAAATCTCCAAAACTCGGCCAACTTCGAACCAAGCTTTCCCGACGTCCAAATTTGTCCAACGAAGCACTCCCAAGCTCCTGGGAACCTCACAAACACAACTATAAGCTTCAAATGTCCAAAAACTCACTAAATTAATCTTGCATGAACAGTACTCAAATCGGAGTTTAAGAAATCGACGTGAAAACGTTGATGTTCTTACCTGAAAATGGTACCACTGGACTCCTCACAGCCTCACAAACTTGATGGTGTACTTGGTTCCCTCGATCTGTCCAGGTTTGAGGGGTTGTGTGAGTGTCCGTACGTTTTTTGTTTGAAGAAGAAGAGGAATGGAGGACTCGGGGGAGAGAGAGAGAGAGAAAATGACAGAGGGTGAGGGATAGGGACAGGGTATGTGTGTGTGTGGTCCAACTTTGGCCAACACCACACAAAACAACCAAAAACGTAACAAAAACAAACCAGGGGTAAAATGGTAATTTCACACGTACGTTTCCGATAATTCTAGGACGGGATGTCACACAAGTGTATTTTTTCTTTCTAATTATAAAAAGTTGAGAGTGTCAAATGAGATTTTTGGAGTACTAATAACAATTTCCTTTAAAAATTCACAAAATTAATTATAAAGTTACAAATTGTTACAATATTAAAGTATTTTATGAGCTAGTCAATTCTTTTAGCGCAACATTTATCAAAACATTATCAGTAAAAAAATCTTAGAATCCTTGACAGGTATTCACTTATGTATATGATACATTTATACCTAATACAAAAACTTTATCTCAGTCTTAAAATTATTGTGTTCTGCATATGTAATTAGTGACATAAAAAGGGAGACACTAATTATGGGTTATCATTTTGACTAAAAATGTGTGTTAGTCATTTGATTATTTAGTTTAAAGACCATTCCAACAATTAAAACTATATTGAATCATAAAACATGATTTGAAATTCAAGTTCTTAGACAATTAATAATGGTATTTTGATTAAAAAAAAAAACCTTGGATTATAAGTCTTAATCTAGGGATGACTATTTAGTACACAACACGACAATGAGTTGAAAAACGATAAAAATACGTAGGTTTTAGTTGGTCATAATTATGCTCAAGTCATAATCGCATTAACCTATTTTTGAGCCAACTCAAGTATAACACGCTAAAATAGAACTTGAATTTACCGTCTTTTTAACATCTAACACATTGAAATCGTATATTATGTCGATCTGAAATTAATGATGCAATTCATAATCATGTAGTATTGATCTTTTATGTCGTGTCAACTCGAACCCAACAAGCAAAACACAAATTGCCAAACCTATCCATTTTCATATTCTTTGGAAAAAAAGTCCTAACCATTTTACAAAAATATGACGCTAACAAAAAAGAAAAAAAAAATTAGAAAAAAAAAAATGAAGAAAAACTAAAATATAGAGCTAAAAAAGTTGTGCTCATCCTCTCTCCCCCGAATCCCGATTACGTCAAAGAAATATTAAAATAAAAGCAATAAGTGAGTTGTGCAGAGATAGAGAGAGAAAGTAGAGAGAGAAAGAGAGAGGAGGGGTCAAATCGAGTGGCGAAGGGGGTTGGGTTGTCTTTTACAAATTTCTGTGGTGGTGGTGCTGGTATTTCCATTTAGCCCTTCTCCTCCTTTTTCTTTCTTTCTAGCCCACGGAGGGTTTCAAACAAAAACGCGCAGAGGAGAGAGAAACCAGAGAGAGAGAGAGAGAGAGAGAGAGAGATAGATAGTCCTGAAAGCTTGAAGATAATACTGGAGACACAGCTCTCCAAGCACTCCATACAAAATCCCCAAATCTTCTATTTTCCGTCTTTCTTCTCTTTAGTTTGTGTAATCTTTAGCCGATGGATCCCTTCGATTTGGTACGAAAAGGTATATTCTTGCTGCTTCGTTCAATCGGATCTTGAGCTTCATCTGTTCAATTTTGCAGCTTCATTAATTTCATTTCTTGAAATTTTTATTAGTTTTTTTTGTTTTTATTTATTTTTAATCGTTGACGTTGAATTTGTTGAGATCTATCGAATTCGGTTGCTTGAGTAGTTATGGATTTGGTTGCTTGAGTAATAAGTGTTATTAATTATTGTTTATTTTTAATCATGATTTTTGTATAGATTTTTCTGTGGAAAATGGTAGTGTGGAAAATCAGGTCTTAATTAATTGAGCGTTGAATATAATCAATGTGTGAGATTTTTTTTTTTTTTTTTTTTGGGTTTATATCGTTTAGTTCTGCTTAATTTTGTTGTTTGTTACTTTAATCAGTGTTTGAACTTGAATTTTAGGGGTTAAAGCATGTTTCTTTGAACAAATAATTGCAAGTTTATCGTATATTTGAAAATGATTGATATATGTATGATTCAATTTTCAAAATAAGTAGATTTTCTCTTCCTGTTTTGCTATTGTTTTCGATTATTTTATAACTGGTCGCATCGACTTTGACGGACTTGTTGAATTGCAAGTTGGTTTTTCAGCAAGGGGAAGTTTTTGGTCAATGGACTAATTATAACACTCGATGAACTGTTTTGCAGGGTTTGGTTGAAGCTTAATGAAAATCAAGTTATTGTTTTTATTCAAAGCTGTTTTGTTATTTTCATTTGAGTAAATAATGAGCTTGTCCAAGAAAGGATCCTTTACCAACGACACCAAACTAAGCACCGCAAACAAGGCAACTGCGTTGAATCCCAATGCAGCGGAGTTTGTTCCCTTTTCCCTCAGATCTCCGTCATCTGGAAGCACCAGCACGGCACAGGGCGCATCAAAGTTTTCTTCCGCTGGAACATTTGGAAAAGCAGTACTAGATCGAACAGAATCTTCTACATCAAACAATTCCGATGATGAGGCCCACCAGTATTGGCGCCACCAGCTCCCTGACGATATTACCCCTGACTTCAAGGTCATGGGAGAAGATGAGTCGCAAGGCCTTGGGAACCTCTCTTTGGCAGGTTTGTCCTTACACGATGATGTTGAAGCAACACGGTTTCCTGCCTCGACGGGCAGTGGATACTTATTAAACGAGTCACATACTAATGGCAATAGCTTTTCCGAAAAGTTAAGAGCTTCTGCACCTCCCTTTGGCGGGGATGATCTTTCATCGGCCAGTTTCCTTCATATGTCACCGAAGCCTTGGGAAAAGCAGATTCTGAATAGTAATCAGCTTGTTGGCAATGGTCAGGAGGGGTCTCCTTATGATGGCTTTTCGAGACACGGGTTCATGAATGATATGATGGGTGAGCATGCAGTTGTGGAAGATGCTGATATTAACCCTGCTGAGTTTTTGGCTGCACAGTTCCCTGGCTTCTCTGCTCAGAGCGTTGCTGAAGTTTACTTTGCCAATGGCTGTGATTTGAACCTGACTATTGAGATGTTGACTCAGTTGGAGGTATACTTGCATCTGTTAATTCAAATTGACAAAATAAGTTTGCCATCCTCAATCAAGGCAGCTTGCATGTCTTATGTTACATTGGATTGTTGTCAGTTAATATTTCTCTTTAAAGTTAAATATTGTATTTTTCAAAAAATCTAGTCAAAGAAAACATTATCAAATTGTTCATGCTAATTCTGTAGATTCTATGTATCCTTTTCATTGTGTGTGAATTGAGGTGTATGATGGGATTTATATGTTTTGACTTGCAGCTTCAAGTTGACGGTGGTTTTAATGAGAATCTGAACTCAAAGGCCGTGTCAGCTCCTGATCTTAGTTCAATGGACTTCCCTGCACTTACGCCAACAGATGGTCATCATGGTCATTCAAAATATGCTGGAGATGCTGATCTCCAGCAAAGCAATCCTTATCGATCTTCTGATAAGGACAACATGCTTTTGTTCAAGTCTAGCTCATCAATTCCTAATAGAGGTGCAATAGATTTTGCTTCAGCTGTCAGAAAATTGGCGACCCAGGATTCTGGATGGAAGTATGAGAGAAATGGTTCTGCTGATGCTACTATTGGCTCAAGCAGGCGTTCCCATCTTTCGAACAGCACTTTCAATACTGGGCATGGAAGAGGCATGTACAGCGACAGGTCGCAGAATCGTGGTTCAGCTCGAACTGCCCCTGTTTGGCTTGAAACGGGAGATGCTGTTGGTAATGTCCCTTGGTCAACCAAATTAGTTCTGTTCATGTTTATTTAGTTATGGACATTCTTCTCGATCTATATATGCTTTAACATTGTTGAGATGACAGCAAATATGTATTCTGATCTGCGGGATGAAGCTCGGGACCATGCACGCCTACGTAATGCATATTTTGAGCAGGTTTGTCTTGAATGTTCTTAGCCTTAAATGGTCTGTTTCTGCACCCTTTCCGCCACATCCTTCTTGCTTTATGTTAAGAGTGAAGCCTTAAATTGGCTTAAAATTGTGTTAGTGCAGCATATGGACATCTTGGTATATTAATTTTCAATCATGATTTTCTCTGGTGAGTTGAACACCAATTCTCTTTGGCTAAGATGTCAACATTGAAAATTAAATACATGGCCAAGAAACAAACTGCAGCAGCACATGGCGGGTGTTCACCTTCCATGGGTTTGAAACAATTGTGAATTTAGCCAATAGGTATTAGTAGGAGTGTTTTTCCCATATCATATTGTCATACTGGCATGCCACTGCAGTTTCATTTTTTTCCTTTCTACCATGTGTGCCGAATGTTGAGCCACATAATGATTTGTGGGTTCACTCCAATCCCCTCTACTAACTTTGCAGCTAATGTTGCTATGAAACCAATTTTACCCTGACTGTTTCTATTAAAAAACAGGCACGGCAAGCGTACCTTGTTGGAAACAAGGCTCTAGCGAAGGAGCTGAGCGTTAAAGGACAGCTGCACAACATGCATATGAAAGAAGCTCATGGAAAAGCTCAAGAGTCTATATATCGTCAGAGGTTTGTTGTCCCCCACTGTTTGTGCTTCCTCTGGGCAAGGATGCCCGAGTATTTATAGAATTTTGTTTTACCATACTGTCTATACTTATGTGCATTTGTGATGGCTTGATGCCTGTATTTTGGAATCTTTTCATTTCTTAGTTAAGTCGTTTGGATTAGGCTAAAATTTTAAACACCTCCTCTTCTCTGTCTACCGGAAATCCATTTATCTTTGAGGGAATATACGAATATTCTGGTTGACTTATGACCACCTCCTGAACTTCTTGTTATTTTGATCCGAGAATGCTTCTATATAAGCATTGCTAGAGTGCGACTTGATCATGCAGAGCATGAGTTGGACAACATACTTAACGACTTGATCATGCAGAGCATGAGTTGGACAACATACTTAATGCAGTCGACTAATTTTTTGATTCACCCTCGATGACCTTAGTTTTGATGTTTTTCTTGTTTTATTGATAAAGTTAATTGGTTGCGTTTTCTGCTGTTGTGTACTGTTTTCTGAAAATACAGGAACCCAGTTTCTCCGGAGATGCAGGGCAATGGGAGATCACAAGAGAGGATGATAGACCTGCATGGGCTGCACGTAAGTGAAGCCCTTCATGTCCTGAAGCACGAGCTGAGCGTGTTGAGGAATGCTGCCAGAGCAGGAGAGCCTGGTCTTCTGGTTTATATATGTGTTGGAACGGGCCACCACACCAGGGGTTCCCGCACTCCAGCTAGGCTCCCAATTGCTGTACAGCAATACCTACTCGAAGAAGAAGCCCTTGACTACACTGAACCACAGCCAGGGCTGCTCCGAGTTCTGTTATACTGAGCCACGAAGATGACGTGTTTGAGATATAGGATGTTTTTAACACAGCACAGTCCGCGAAGCCATAGTCATCGTAGCGAATCTTGTATCTGTATATGGGAAGAAAACAAGTTTAGTCCAAGTCTGAAAAACGAAAGGAAAGAAAAACACGAAGAGAAGGATCGGAAAGTTAGAGGGAAAAAGACCGACAAAACGAAAAAAAAGAGAAGTGTATCATTAAGTTGGAGCAGTTGACCGAGGGATTACGTTTTCAGTAGCCGAAAAGGATCCTACATTAGCAGGTGCCTTGCATCTTTTGCCTTTTTTTGTATCTTAAAATTTTATTTCTTTGTCAAATTCCTTTTTGATTCCCAGATGTAACTGATAGAATTGAATTACATGATAGAACAATTCACCTTGCCAATTATACCCTGTACCATTTAGCCGGAACTTTATGTTTCGCCGGCGACCTGGAGTGGTTTTTACCTTCCCGTTTCCGGTTCTCTTCCCGGCTTACCGGAGTCCGGCTTCAACAAGTGTGGAAATCTTAACAAGGAAGGGATGATTTAATATTATACCAAATATTCACATCCGTTTCACGGTTAGGTCTGATCATGGGCAATTTGTACCACGTTTATAAATAACCAAAGCACTCTTGTTTTAGACGGGTGTGTTCAATTGAGATTTTGACAGATAATAATTGATTTATAAATTCATGAATTTTGATGGAGTTTAATTGATTTTTAGATATTCTATGTAAAATTTTGATCTAATTCTCTTGAAATCTCAAGGGAAGAGGTGAGGTTTGTGAATGCTTAAAATACCTTACGAAATCTCTCGAATTCTCTCAAACTCCTTAACTTTTTAAAATTCGTTAAAACAAATTTGTAATGGAATACTCTCAGAATGTTCTAAACTTCTTCATAATCCTAATTGAATATACTTGGATTTTTTAGGATTTTAATAAATTATTTAAAAATCCTGATTGAATACAAGTTGGAATTCAAAGAATCACAAAAAAAATTATGATTTAGTGCTCCTTTATCGTCTGTTTAGTGGTCTTTGAGTCTTATTTTGTTTATTACACGTTTATAATTAGTATAAGGGTTAAGCTCAGTTGGTCATCTGTTGTGTGTTCGCTCCTGTATATTTAAGTCTGATGCCTCCGTCCAAAGATTAGAGAAGTTTACAATATACACCGTCTCATTAAAATAAAAAAGTTTGTAACTGATTTTATTTGTGCATATATCCTTGAAATAAATGTTTAAGAGACCTCAAACTCACCTAGTCTACCCTTAACTGATATGGGCCATTTACAATGCTTATAAGTCCATATTATACCATATATTTTACCCTATTCTTAATTATAGTTGATTGGTTATTTTTGTAGAATTTTGATATTTTTTAATGTAGGACATTCGACTTTCTCTGGAGCAAAAAAGTGATCAAACAGATGAATTTTTGAGTGATTCCAATTGGAGGATGTTCGTGTGTCTCTCAACCTATTTGTATCAAAGTTTCATAATTTTCTACCAAGCGGTTTATTTATGGCGATGAAATAAAGGAGCAGCGTGCATTACTGTCAAATTGACGTTTTGGGCTTATTTGGGTTTTTTGGCATCCAAGATGATGTCTTTTGGGTTTGAGGCTTTCTGCAATTTGTTCAGGACATCTCAAGCTTTAATTCTAACCATTTTGGGCATGTGTTCGGAGCCTTGAAAGTCCAAATACGTGGCTGATTTGTGGCTTGGCAGATTTCCCATATTTGATTAGGATTATGTTTCCTAGTTTCTCTAAGTTTTTATGTTTCCTAGTTTTTCGAAGACCTTCTCTAGGTAGGATTAGGAGGAGAACGCACGCACTACCTAGAGAGCTTTTGACAATTCAAGTTTATTTTCAAGGTGTTTTCTATCCTTGTTCTTAATAATATTTTGTTTTATGATTGTTCGTATAATTTCATTTGCTAGGGCGAAGCCACGAGTCTTAGCAAGAATATGTAGTTTTTTTCAATTTGCTTATGATATTATGCATGCAGGTTTTGAATTATTAATCACTGTGTTAAAACTATCTAATTGTCTTGATGATTGGCCACCATTAGGATATTTAGAAAAGTAATTTGATGTAATTTTGGCGGAAAGCTGTCCTTAAAATTGACTAAGGCTTTTTGTGGTTACTATGTGTAACTTCTTAGGATGAACGACATGTTGCAAGGGTTATATGGTTTTTCAAAAGGAATTTACAAAACTTAATGAGTTTTGTATGTTCACATTCAATCTGGACACCACAGACGAGTTGCATGTTAGATATACGTTCTATGTTGGAGGTTCCAAGTAGGGCATACTTTAGGACACCCTAACCTTCAAAATATGTATGGATAATTCATAAGTAATTGGAATAATTGTGTATGATTGTTTAGATGACGACGGAACCCTAGTGCTCAAATTTATTTTAAAACTATTTTCTTTTGTTTTATTTACTTTGCCAATTTGTTTAATTATTTTTAATTAAAATTCGTTTTTAATATTTTAGGTCAAAAAATTACCTTTTTCCAAACTTTCTTTTCAAATAATTAATTAAGATTTTATAATTACATAAATTATTCATTCAATCTATGCGGAAATGACATTACTTGAGTTACTATACTACAACTACCTTGTACTCTTGCAAATATCTTTAAATATTTTTATCTTTACTTTTGCAGGTGGTAAAAATTCTTATCACACATTTTTTTTTAAGATAATTGATGGCAAACCACGGTTATCTATCGTTAGGCGGGAAGAAGTGCTTCTCATCTTTGAAAGCCTCCTCCGTTCATGTCTTCCAAACCACAAAAGTACAAACAACATAATCTTAGAAGAAAAAAAAAAAATCTACAAACACCAGAATCTTGAGTGTTGGAGGGAAAGTCAAATGATGCAAGCAAGAAACAATAATGCGGTTGCACCACCACTTCCGCCCCAAATCCACTTCCCTCCTCACCAATTCTCCACCCAATTCTCCACACCCACAATCGCTTCCATCTCTCTTCACCTTCTCTTCTCTATCTTCTGCCCTCTCTCACTCTACCCGCATATCCCCATCTTCTTCTTCCTCCTCCTCTCAATGGTTCTCCATCCTCCGCGCCGCTGTCGCCGCCGCAGACTTGCAGCTCGGAAAGCGTGTGCACGCGCTGATCGTAACCTCCGGCGATGGCCCGGATCATTTTTTGACCAACAACCTCATCGCCATGTATTCCAAATGCGGATCGCTTTTATCCGCACGCCGCCTGTTTGATAAAAAGCGCGGCCGAGGCCTTGTCACATGGAACTCCATTCTAGCGGCCTATGCGCATGCTGCGGGCTCTGATGTTGAGAATGTTCAAGAGGGTCTTAGCCTTTTCCGGCGTCTTCGTGAGTCGGTTGTTTTTACTAGTCGGCTCACTTTGGCGCCGGTTTTGAAGATGTGTTTGATATCAGGGCACCTATGGGTTTCCGAGGCGGTTCATGGGTATGCTGTTAAGATTGGATTGGAGTGGAATGAGCTTGTTTCTGGTGCTCTTGTGAATATATATTCTAAATTCAGACGAATTAAGGCCGCTCGTGTGTTGTTTGATGGGATGATGGAAAGGGATGTTGTGTTGTGGAATACAATGCTCAAGGCATATGTGGAAACGGGTCTTGAGGAAGAAGGACTTTCTTTCTTCTCTGCGTTTCATCGGAGTGGATTGCATCCCGATGATGTTAGTGTGCGTTCTGTTCTCAGTTGGATTGACAAAGTTGATTCTTATGAATGCAAGAGGCACATGGAGCAGGTTCAAGCATACGCAACAAAATTGTTTTTGTATGATACAAAGTCGGAGTGTTTGGACCTATATTCTTGGAACAAGACATTGTCCGAGTATGTTAAAGCTGGTGAAAATTGGGCTGCTATAGACTGCTTTAGAAACATGGTACGATCAAAAGTAGAGTTTGACACGGTGACATTAGTTGTTATTCTGTCTACGGTTGCCAGTGTAAATGATTTGGAGTTGGGGAAACAGATTCATGGTCTTGCTTTGAAATCACGTTTTGATTCTGTTGTGTCTGTTGCAAATAGCCTTATCAACATGTATTCAAGGGCTCGTTCTGCTTATTCTTCAAGAAAAGTGTTCAATCGCATGAAAGAAGTGGACTTAATTTCATTGAACTCAATGATATCATGTTGTGCGCAAAGTGGTTTAGGAGAGGAAGCCATAAACTTATTTATAGGCTTATTACATGATGGTTTGAGACCGGATCAATTTACTATTGCAAGCATTCTAAGGGCTTGCTCCTCCCTTGAAGAAGGGTTGTCAGCCAGCAAACAGATTCATGTTCATGTTATAAAATCCGGTATTGTTGCTGACAGTTTTGTTTCGACGGCTCTTATTGATGTTTATTCTAGAAGTGGAAACATGGAGGACGCAGAGGTCCTTCTTGGAAATGAACTTGAATTCAATCTGGCATCTTGGAATGCAATGATGTTCGGATACATAATGTGTAACGACAGTCATAAGGCATTGGAACTTATGAGAATAATGCACGAAGGTGGACACAGCACCGATGCGATATCTTTAACAACTGCGGCTAAGGCTGCTAGTAGCCTGGTAGCTTTGGGATCAGGACCAGGAAAGCAAATTCATGCTCATGCCATAAAAACAGGGTTTGTTTCGGATTTATGTGTTAACAGTGGAATTCTGGAGATGTATATCAAATGTGGTGACATGGGGAGTGCACACACATTGTTCAACGACATCCCTGCACCCGATGGTGTTGCATGGACAACTATGATCTCAGGATGTGTAGAAAATGGAGATGAAGGGCGCTCTCTTTATATATACCATCGGATGAGGCAGTTAGGAGTCGAGCCCGATGAATATACCTTTGCCACCCTTGTCAAAGCCAGCTCTTGTCTGACAGCATTAGCACCAGGGAAACAGATACACGCTGATGTGATAAAGTTGGATTTTTCCTCAGACCCTTTTGTCGCGACGTCACTTGTTGACATGTATGCCAAGTGCGGCAACATAGAAGATGCTTATCATTTATTCAGGAAGATGGATGTTAGGAATGTCGCCCTGTGGAATGCCATGTTGGTCGGTTTAGCTCAGCATGGAAATGCTGAAGAAGCACTAAGCCTTTTCAGAGTCATGAAAACAAAGAACATAGAGCCTGATAGAGTTACTTTCATTGGAGTCCTTTCCGCTTGCAGCCATTCTGGTTTAGTATCCGAAGCATTTGAGTATTTTTCTAAAATGCAGAAAGATTACGGCATTGAACCTGAGATGGAGCACTACTTTTGCCTAGTTGATGCCCTTGGCCGCGCAGGTCTAGTCCAAGAGGCAGAAAAACTGATAGCATCAATGCCCTTTGAAGCTTCTGCTTCAATGTATAGAGCCCTTCTATGTGCTTGTAGAGTTATGCTCGTAGAGTCAAAGGGGAAACCGAAACTGGAAAACGGGTAGCAGCACAGCTCCTGGCTGTGGAGCCATCTTACTCGTCTGCTTACGTGCTTTTATCCAACATCTACGCAGCTGCAGCATTCTCTGTACTACCACGGTCAGAAGCTAGCAATAGCTTATGGACTCATAAGCACTCCTCCGTCTGCTACCATTTGGGTGATAAAAAACCTTAAGAGTTTGTGAAGATTGCCATAATGCAGTCAAATACATATCGAAGGTTTATCACAGAGAGATTGTTTCATGGGGGTCTTTCAGTGCAGCTGCCTGCTAACCGACCCAGATTTTATGAACAGATGGATTTCGTGGCGAATCACTTTTGGGTAACCCCATCTTCTACCTTCGGTTTTTGCTTATGGTGCTTCATTGGCAACATTGCTAGATTTAGGGATTCTACTGACCGATTTGGAATGAGCTTGTTTCTGGTGCTCTTGTGAATATATATTCTAAATTTGGACGAATTAAGGCCGCTCGTGTGTTGTTGATGGGATGATGGAAAGGGATGTTGTGTTATGGAATACAATGCTCAAGGCATATGTGGACACGGGTATTGAGGAAGGACTTTCTTTCTTCTCTGCAGTTCATCGGAGTGGATTGCGTCTTGATGATGTTAGTGTGCGTTCTGTTCTCTGTGGGATTGACTAAGTTGATTCTTATAGATGCAAGAGGCATATGGGGCAGGTTCAAGCATACGCGAAGAAATTGTTTCTGTATGGTACAAAGTCGGAGTCTTCGGACATATATTCTTGGAACAAGACATTGTCCGAGTATGTTAAAGCTGGTGAAAATTGGGCTGCTATAGTGTATTCAAACACTCCTGCTGCTTATTCATCGAAAAAAGTGTTCAATCGCGTGAAAGAAGTGGACCTAATTTCGGTGAACTCCATGATATCATGTTGTGCGCAAAGTGGTTTAGGAAGGAAGCGGTAAACTTATTTACAGGTTATTACATGATGGTTTGAAACCCGATCAATTGACTGTCGCAAGTGTTTTATGGCTTGCTCCTCGCTTCAAGAAGAAGGGCTGTCAGCCAGCAAACAGATTCATGTTCATGATATAAAATCCGATATTGTTGCTGACAGTTTTGTTTCGACGGCTCTTATGGATGTTTTTATTCCAGAAGTTGAAACATGGAGGACGAAGTCCTTGTCGGAAATAAACTTAAGTTCAATCTGGCATCTTGGAATGCAATGATGTTCGGATACGTAATGTGGAACGACAGTCAGATGGCAAAGTTCAAGATTTTTAGAGGGTTTTAGGGAAATCCCCATATCTGCACTTAACAGGCAAGGCAAACATTTGAGTCTGGCATCTTGTTTATCAACTCAGGGGCTTATGTAAGAACCACCTCATTAGCAACATTTTGATGTCTGGAAGGCTTCATCCCCTTTTAACTTCAATGACTGATGGAAAAATGGAAGAGGTGAGAGTTATATGGTTCATTGTTTTTACTTAATTTGTTTTAACATAAAAAAATAGCGTGTTGAAATAATTTGTTAAGAGTGTTTAGTCAAAGAATTTATAGTGAATTAAGCTTCATTAGCGCGCACAGAATTTTGAGAAAAAAATGTTATAAGACTTTACCCATACAGTATTATTATTATTATTTTTTTTTTTTTGCTCTAAGAAACCAAAAAGCAGTAGATAGTGCTACCGTGATCACAACCAATTCTAACACAATTAAGAAGAACGATGATTCTCTCTGGATCCTTTTTGGGAGGATCTAGGGGATTCATAAATCGTGTTTGTACATCGTATATCGTGCAACTAGTTTTTGTTAGGTACTATTTGTATTCAATTTTAAATAAAAAAATTAAAATGATTTTTGATTGCACAATGTATAATGAAAGGACACGATTTATGAATTTTCGGAATCCTCGTAAAGAGAATCCGAAGAAGACTCTCACTCAAACAAGAAAGCTTTTCTCGCCACAGAAGCCAATGTCCCATCCCAAATATGAACATTACTAAAACTAAAACCAATGCTAGTGACTGTATCTGCCAAAAAGTTCTCTGTAAATATGATTCCACAAAAGTTGAGAGAAAAAAGTCACCAACAACTTAATATCTTATCTTCGACCATGTTCTCCGGCCGTCAAGGGCTTGATAAACTAATTAAATCTAAAAAATAAAAGAACACTTAAAAAGCAAGTTTTACGTTGCATGATTTCCGTGTTGATATTTCAATAAAACTGTAAATTCATTTGATTTATATAAACAAATAAACCGTCTTCAAATCAAATAAATTATTCTTAAGATAATCACTATAGAATACGAAATTGTTCTATAGTAAAATAATAACACATCAATAAGGACGAAGAATCATTTTCCCACCTAAAACTAAAGGAAATGTTATCCGTTGGTAATTAGTAAATTCCTTTGTGTTTTGGTGAATTATAAATTCTTCTTCTTCTTCTAGTGTTATTCACAGTAATAGTAAATTTTTTGAGTGATAATTTGCATACCCTTCTAGGCGGAGCCGGGTTATTTCCTCTTCATTTTCTCCCTTCTCCTCTCACATTTTTTCCTTTGTCTTTCTCTTCTATAAAGAATTTAACGTAAAATGTTAACGTGGTTTAATCGTAACTATTTAAATAGAAAATAATTAAAAATAAAAAGGCAATCCTCCTTCCTTTGCTCACACAAGTTCTTTTATTATTAGGAAAATTAACGAAAAGTTTAAAAAAAAAGTTTTAATGAAAAAGGACAAATAAATGTGTACTGAATAGTACAAGAAAAGATAAAAATGTGGATTTTCATGAAAAGTAAACAGTACTCGGAATGTTTCGTTAAAACTTCCTTATTTTTTTTGTTTTCTTCCTACTCTTTGAGGGAAACTCCTTTTTCTTTTTGGAGTGTATTATTCACACATTATTTTTTTATTTTTCACGTATTTTTTTTTAACTTTTAACAATAAATCAGATGAATTGAACAAAATCAAAAAACAAAAATTAACAACGGTACCAGAAATAAAAAGGGTTTTTTTTTTTTTTTGATTCCCCGATTTTCTTCCCGAATCCTGTGCTGGCCCGCACTGGAAAGCGGTCACGGTCATAACAATTCCTCGTGCGACGTGTCAGTGTCAACCAAAGCGCGGGACTCCACTAACTAACAAAACGACAACATTTCCAAAAACCAGGACAATTAAAGCAGGCAGGTCGTCTCCCGCTACGTGACCGCCGGCGGATTTTAGCAAAACCCACAAAAGGGCTGCGAAAGAGAGTTACGGGACAGTGTTAGCTCTCCACTCTCCGTTACTCTGCAAAAGCAGTGAAGAGAGAGCACCCAATCTCCGGGGCTCACGATTCTCGCGTTCTTCACCTTCCGCCATCTTCTTCCGGCGTCTCTCGCATTCTCGGCGGGAATCGGAATCAAAGGACGGAGCTTTCACGGCATGGAAGTAGAGGAATCCAATTCCAGCCCCCTCAATCATACCCCCGATGATGACCAGTCACCGCAGTCTTCCAAGAAATTCAGTCCCAGACGGTCTCTCTCCCTACCTCTCTCTCTCTCTCTCTCTCTCTCTCTAATATTTCTCTCTCTAAATTTGAAGGTTTGTTTTTTACAATGTGAATTTCTCTGGCGTGAATTTTTAGGTATCAGTCGGAGGTGTATGAGGTTGCGCGGCGGAAGAACACGATAGCGGTGCTGGAAACCGGTTCCGGGAAGACGATGATAGCTGTGATGCTCATCAGAGACTACGAAGGCTGCCAAACTATTAATTCAAGTAGTGGTGCCAAAAAATTGATTATTTTCTTGGCTCCAACTGTTCATCTTGTTCACCAGGTATTATTTCCTAATTTTATTCCTTTAAATTTTTGCTTTTTATGTGGCTAATGCGTCGTGGTAGGATGCCCTTATGCAATGTGGCTCATTGGTGGTCTTGTAACCTAATGGAATTATATGTTCTTGTGATTGCAGCAATTTAAGGTTATTAAAGAAAGCACAAATTGTAGAGTGGGAGAGTATTATGGAGCCTTGGGGGTGGACTCGTGGAACATGGAGTGCTGGGAAAAGGAAATAAATGAGCACGATGTAAGTTATCTTCGTTTTTTTGTCAAAAGTTGTCCTTTTTTTGATTGTTGATTGTTGAGTAATATTGAAAACTATCACAATCTGTATCGGTTCATGCTTCTTTTCAATGATTTGAGTGTTTCTTATCCTTTCAATTATTGCCGATAATGTTAGCAGCTAATTGATGCTTCACTTTGCTTAGTTTGTTTCTTTTCTTGCTAGTTATAAGAATCGCTTAATTTTCCTTCAGAGGTCATGTAGGCTCGTTTTACTTGCTTTACCCATTGTTGACGCCTCATTTGTTTGATTTCTAGCATATCGAGAACTTATTTAGAATGTGAAGAAAACAATTATCAGGGTAACTTTTCAAAACTATAATCCTCAAAAGACTGGAATTCATGCACCACATGTGATATGTTTAAAACCTTGTCACAAAATAGTATTCTCAATTTTTTGCAGAGCCTATTCAATTGAAGCATATTTGTTTTATATATATTATCCATTAGGTGCTAGTTATGACCCCCCAGATTCTTTTGGATGCCTTAAGAAATGCATTCTTGAGTTTGGAAGCAGTATGGTTGATGATTGTTGATGAGTGCCATCGGGCTATTGGGAACCATCCATATACAAAGATAATGAAGGTTAATTTCACTTTTGTGTAATGTTCTTTCAATTCATTTTTGCTATGTTTTGTCTCCTTTATTTCTTTTATAGTTAAGGGTTATCTTGACAAATAGTTTGTTGTGGTGAAGGAATTTTATCACAAGTCTAGTAAAAAGCCAAAGATTTTTGGCTTGACGGCATCACCTGTTATTAAAAAAGGTAATATATGGCTATTGTTTATCATTTGTGCTCTCTCTTCCTTCAACCCGTTGCTGGGGTTTTTGTATGTTCACTTTCTTACATGTCCATTGTTGAGTCCAAACCTACTGTATCACAAATCTTAGTATGTGCATCTTTATATACAACATTGTGCGTTAGGCATCTCATCCACAAAGGATTGTGAGGGGCAGTTATCAGAACTTGAAAGCACTTTAGATTCCCAGGTATACAGAAATATTCCAGTAATATTACTATACATGTATCAGTTACTGATGATAATGGTTTAATATCTTGAAATTTGCTTACACAGATTTATACTATTAAGGACATAACAGAGATGGAAGTATGTGTCACCTCTGCAAAAGAAACATGTAGATTTTATGGCCAAGCATGGTTTCCGTGTTCAGATTTGAAAGAAAAGATGAAAGCCTCTTGGTCCAAGGTATTTCTGCATTACATATATATTAACAAATTTACCATTCATTGTTAGCCTACTTTCGTGTGGCAAACTTGTGTGAATACTAACAAACTTGCATTGACAGGTTGATGCTTCATTGTCAAAGTTGCAAGAATCAGTAGAAAGTAATGTGAATGACATGGAGGATAAAATTAAGACATTGCGGAAACGAATGTCTAATGACTACACAAAGATCTTGTATTGCCTTGATGACCTTGGTCTCATATGTACTTACGAGGTATGACTGTAAGTATAACGCATCGGGTGAAAGGTGGTTGTTCTAGGAAAATTAAAGGACCGAGCTGTTGTCACCCTCAGACTGGTTTTTCTTTTCATTCTAAACGAATTCAAGCAGGTCTAATTGCATAATGTGAGCCTTAATGGACAGTTATTCTTCAGGTCACACCGAATAGTTTCTATGATACACATGGTGTGACCCATTACCGGGGTTTGTTGCTCTTTATTTACGACTCCGATTATAAGTACTCTTATATAGCCATGTACTGGGATATATCTTAAGATGGTAGTACAGGAGAAAGGTCACCTTGTTCTTCCCCAATTCTACTTTATGGTCTTTCCTTCTGGTTCTAATTATGAGAACATATAACCTTAATTCTTTTGTAGGCTGTTAAGATCTGTTTAGAGAATGCTCCGAAGTGCAACGAGGTGATTGAACTTTATAGAGAAGGCTCTTTGCAGTGCAGATGTTTTCTTGAGGAAGTGTTTGGTATAATTAAGGAATCATTTCTGCACGGTATGCCATTCTTTAGCTTTCTTTCCTAACTCTTTTATCAGCATTTATACCACACTGGTCTAACTTTATATTAAAAATCATCTGTTAATGATATGCTATAAAGTACTGAAATCTCTCTCTCTCTCTCTCTCTCTCTCTCTCTCTCCCCCCCTATATATATATTTATGGGTTAGGGTCCAGGGACACTCTTTTGACACATGATTTTGTGGGGCTCACTGCATAATCCAACTGTCTATCTTTATGTCTTACCTCAAAGGTCATGTCACCCAAATCCAAAACCACTGTTGGATTAAATTTAGTGTTTCTTTGTAGAACCGTATTCGTTCATTTTCTTCACTACAAAAGAATGTCTTAATGGATTTGGATTTGTCTAATTTTTTTACAAGGATGATGTGCGAATGATGTACTAAAATATAGACGGTTAGGATAGTTAAAATACCTTACAAAGTGTGTCAAAAGTGTGTGTCCTCGGATCCTAATCCTATATATATACTGTCTTTCTTGGTCCCTTTTCTGTTTGCTTTTGTTGTCTTTTCAATTATTAAGGACTTAACACTTTGCTTATTTCTGATAGTGTTTTATCATTGACATGCTTGAGAATGGATGAATAATGCCATTATTTTGCTGACTATGGTGTGGCATTAGATCATATGATTTTAGCTTTTAAGAGCACAAGATGCCTGTTCAACAATAATCTTGTTATGTTCAGTTAATAAGGACATAGCACTTTGCTCAGTTCTGATAGTGTTATCATTGAGATGCTTGAGAATAGATGAATAATGCCATTATTTTCCCAACATACTTTTTGTTGCCATATAGTTCTGATGATGCAAATAACTCCAATTTTGTTGTAGTAAAATGAGCTATTATTTCCTTCTATTGTCAGGTTCTGAAAATTTTTTGGATTTCGGGTTTGACTATTTGAAGGCAGTAGATGTGGGCTACATATCTCCAAAATTAAATGAACTTGTTCAAATTTTTCATTCTTTTGGGTAAGACAATACCTTTGTTGCGCAATTTCTTATCATTGCAAGTTGCTTTACAATCCATAATGTTTTATTGCAGAAGATCTAGGGAAGTACGGTGCCTCATATTTGTTGATAAAATCATCACAGCTAAAGTGATTGAGAGATTCATTAAGAAAGTTACCTCCCTGTCTCATTTTACGGTTTCCTATTTGACTGGAAGCACTACATCAGTTGATGCTCTGGCGCCGAAAATACAAAAGGAGACATTGGAGTTATTCTGCTCTGGGGCGGTATATGATCTTTTATTTTGTAGGAAAGGAACTGACTCATGAGAATTTTTGACATTTGCAAACCTGATACTCAATTGACCCCTTTTGAATAGGTCAATTTATTATTTGCTACCGATGTAGTTGAGGAGGGAATTAATGTTCTGAGCTGCTCCTGTGTGGTACGTTTCGACTTGCCAAAGACAGTGCGTAGTTATGTCCAGTCAAGGGGACGAGCTCGGCAAGATAACTCTCAATTCATCACAATGCTGGAGAGGTGAGGCCATCTCTTTATTGTTCCACTTTATGGGCATATGGGTAGTGGATAGATATATATAGAGAACCTTCAGTGAGTTGAAGATTTTCTCTGTAGGTGTCCTTATTGTGTGTTTCTCATGTATGTAATTATTTTCTGAATGTTCATAAAGTACAGGGGAAACAAGAAACAAAGGGATCAACTATATGAGATTGTCAAGAGTGAGTGTTTGCTGATAGATACAGCTGTCAAAAGAGATCCTGAAGCATGCATTTTGAAAGAATGTATTTTGGAGGAAACAAATATATATACTGTGGATTCCACCAGAGCATTAGTCACTGCAGATTCCAGTGTCAGTCTTATACATAAATATTGTGAAACGCTGCCTAGGGATAAGTATGCATCTGTAAATTACTTAGTACTGTTTCTTGAATTTACTGCTTAAAAAAATTAATTCTTATTGCACCCTTATCTGATTACTGTGTAACTTGTAACTTAGGTACTTCACTCCAAACCCAACTTTTCATTTCTCATATCTTGGAGGGTCTTATGAGTGTAAGATTACATTGCCTCCAAATGCGGCTTTCCAAACTTTAGTTGGCCCTGCATGCAAGAAATCTTCTTTAGCAAAGCAGCTTGTCTGCTTGGAAGCATGTAAGCAGCTACATCAAATGGGTGCCCTGAATGACCATCTTCTCCCAGTCATTGATGTGCCCGATGTGAAAAGAAAAGAGGAAGCTTCTGGTGCAGGTAGTTTTTCTGTACATACTATCTGAGAAAATCAGTGTCTGATTGTTCGCTGATGCACAATGAACTTAAGTTGCTTTTTATGGGTCAGTCATTCTTTGATTTATGTTTATGAATGATCACTTTCTATTTGTTTTCTATTGTGGCTTCAAGTCAACAAGTTGTTCCTTGGCCTAATGTTTGGTGTCATTTGCTTTAAATTTAACTGCTAAATGATATAAACTGGGCGGCCAAAATGTTTTGGTTATCACATCTGTATTCACTTTCTAAAGCAGCTTTATCCCTGTCTTACTGCAGCTTGATTTTTGTTTCAGCACCCCATATTGCATGTGGCTATGTGCTGATGCAGTTTCTGTTCATACTTTTCTTGTTCTCATCTTTTTAATTTAAATAATTGTATTTGGTCTTTAAAGGAACTACTAAAAGGAAGGAACTACATGGTACAAATGACATTCGTATGCTATCTGGAACTTGGGGGGAGAAACTTGATGGTGCTATTTTTCAGGCATATAAGTTTGACTTCTCCTGTAATATTGCCAGTGAGTTGTATTCTGGATTTGTTTTTCTCATTGAATCGAAGCTTGCTGATGATGTGGGGAATATCAAATTGGATCTTTACCTGCTTTCGAAGACAGTTAAGGCTTCTGTTTCTTCTGGTGGGGAGGTTCATTTGGATGGGGAACAGGTACAACTTAAGCTGTTGAACTCAAATTTGCTTCATTTTGTTGTAGTACTTACTGGAACTAGTATTTTCTTAACAGATGGAAAAAGCAAAGTGCTTCCAGGAATTTTTCTTTAATGGATTGTTTGGGAAATTGTATGGAACCAAATCAGCTAGAAAACAGAGAGAACTTTTACTGGAGAAAGAAACAAGAAAACTGTGGACTCCATCATGCTTGTATTTGCTTCTTCCGGTTGAGACATTGAATGATTCAAAAGATGAATCCTGGAGAATAAATTGGGCAGGGATCAATTCTTGTGTTTCTGTGGTAGAGTTCTTAAAGAGAAACTCGTCTTTGGGCAGTCACCAGTGTAACCTTGACACAGGGAATTCAGTTCCAAGTAGAACTGTCTCATCTGAGACTGAGTGCAGCAGTGCGGGGATAGTTCACTTTGCTAATTGCTCTGTTGATGTAAAAAATCTCAAAGATACGGTGGTGGTGGCTATCCATACTGGAAGAATCTACTCAGTTTATGAGGTTATGAGTAACACTTCGGCTGAGAGTCCTTTTGATGGAAAGAAAGACAATGTACCATCACAATATACTTCATTTTCTGAGTACTTCAACAAAAAGTAAGTTATTTTATACCTTGTGTGATGTTTTAGTGATATTACCGTACAATTTTCTTAATGATGTTAATTCTGTTCAGATATGGGATTGTGCTCCTATATCCTGGTCAGCCTCTGTTGCGACTGAAACAAAGTCATAATCCGCACAACCTTCTTGTGAACTTCAATGGTGAAGGTTTGTTGATTTACATGCTTGATCTTTTAGCAATATACCTTATTATTTTTTGTAACCACCCGTTCTTTAATTTATATTTGTATCTATAAAGTTTTTCATGAAACTGTTGTTCATGTCCCTTCTATTGTATTTCTCCATGTTCCAACATTGATTGAAGCAGAAAATTGGCCTAACAGTGCATATATGTATTATGTACCGAGTGAAAATACTATCTTAGTTCTGCATCTTCCACTCCCACTAGTTATTAAAACTTAAAGTTAGACAGCTGCTTCTGTGGTTTCTTGCAAGTAATGGTACTCAATATTATTATGAAGTATATCATTCAAAAGTGTGGTCTTGCGGATGGTGGGATTGGGTGTTTGACTTGTTGAGCATGTGGTCCTTTTACAATCAAATTAATAAATCTATCTGATGCATGTTGTTGAAGAGTAAATGGAGGTGACAAAAGGTTGTGGGTGTGAGTAATTTACTTGTTGCAGTGTTAGTTACATGCTATTGAAACTAGGTTAGCAATACAATGTGTTTTGTATGTTTGGTTGCTAATATTCAACTGGGCAGGTGGTAATGGTAAGACATTGCAATCTGGCGTTGTTATTGGAAAGCAGCGCATGTATGCTCACATGCCACCTGAGCTTCTAGTCACTATTGGTGTCCCAAGAGACGTTCTAAAGTCATGTTATTTACTACCATCATTGATTCATCGCTTGGAGTCCCTGATGCTAGCCAGTCAACTTAGAGAAGAGATTAATTATCATTGTAGCAGCTTTGGGATATCAAGCTCATTGGTATGTCATCTCTTTAGAGACTACGTGACTTGCCCTTTTATCATTCTAATAGAGTAATAAGATTTATCTGAATGATGTTTTTGTGATCAGATTCTAGAAGCACTTACAACACTAAGATGTAATGATGATTTTTCTATGGAGCGCCTGGAATTGCTTGGTGATTCAATTTTAAAATATACCGTGAGCTGCCACCTCTTTCTCAAATACCCCAAAAAGCATGAAGGACAGTTAACTAACTATCGCATGCTGACTATTTGTAACTCAAATCTACATAGATTGGGAATGAATCGCAAGTTACAGGTATTTCCCTTGTACTACATGCTGTCTATGGCTTATATTTATTCACTCAGGTACTGATGTTCAAGCTCATGTTGTACTGATATTCAAGCTCATGTCTTAATGGCTTTGCAAATTTTTAATAGGGATATATCCGTGATGGTGCATTTGACCCATGTCGTTGGGTTGCTCCAGGGCAGATTTCTCTACGACCTGTTCCTTGTAATTGTGGAGTGGAGACTTTAGAAGTACCTTTAGATAGCAAATTCCAAACTGAAGACCCAAAAGTTGTGGTTGGAAAGAGCTGTGATAAGGGCCATAGATGGATGTGTTCAAAAACAATCTCTGATTGTGTTGAAGCCCTTATAGGAGCATACTATGTTGCTGGTGGATTGCCTGCTGCCTTGCATGTGATGAAGTGGCTCGATATTGATGTAGAACTTGAACCTTCCTTGGTTGCTGATGCAATTATGACGGCATCTCTTCATTCGTACACCTCGAAAGCTAATGAGATTGCAGTCTTGGAGTCAAAGCTTCACTATGAATTTTCTACCAAGGGTCTCTTACTGGAGGCCATGACACATGCATCTGACCAAGAATCAGGAGGTGGCTACTGTTATGAGGTATACTGAGAGTTCTATGCGGAGTTTCCTTGATTGACTCTTTACCTTTTCACTTTTTTTTTTTTGTCCTCATATGGTTTACAACAATAAGAAGGAAAATTGTTGTGAGCTTGGAAACCGAAATTGACCAATCAATCTACTATGAAAATGAATCTTTGATAGATTATTTGTTTTACCTACAAGTAATAAATGACCAAGTATAGAACGAGAGTGAAAATTCCATATTACTTCTCTTAACTTCTTGAATTTTCAACAGCGACTTGAATTTCTAGGCGACTCTGTGTTGGACCTGCTTATCACAAGGCATCTCTATCACAGCCACACAGATATTGATCCAGGCGAGTTAACTGACTTGCGCTCAGCTTCTGTTAATAATGAAAGTTTTGCGCAAGTTGCTGTTAGACATGACCTCCAGCAGCATCTGCAACATGCATCGATGTTACTTCTAAGTCAGATAACAGAATATGTGAAGTCTCTTTCAGAACCTGACAATGGTACCACACTTCAAGGCACCAAAGGTCCTAAGGTAAGATCTCACTCAATGTCAAATGTTTTTCTCTTCAATACTTTTGAAAGGTTTCCTTGAGCTTTTGTTTTCAGGTTTTGCTAAAAGATTGAATGTCTGCTTCTTTTAGGCAGTCACCTTTTTATCTTTATTTGGTTCTTTCAGCTTTCTAATTTAAAATTTACGGTCTGGAGGGGTCCTTCTGTATACTTCCCATGTATTTTTGCCATAGTTCCTTTTCAAGTCAAATATCATGACTAAATCTCTATTGTTATCATCACTGTGTTACCATTGTCACAACGATTGTTACTACTATATTATATACTATTGTTTTTGTAATCATGAATAGTATCTGTGCAGGCTCTTGGAGACATGGTGGAAAGTATTGCAGGGGCTATTCTAATTGATACCAAACTTAATCTTGATGAAGTGTGGAGAATTTTTGAGCCATTATTATCTCCAATTGTGACTCCTGACAAACTTGAGCTGCCTCCACTACGGGAGCTGATTGAATTATGCGACTTGTTCGGGTACTATAAAAAAGAGAAGTGTACCAATAAGGGTGAAACAGTTCATGCGGAGCTGACTGTACAACTGAAAGATGTTCTGTTGACTGGAGAGGGGTGCGATCGGACTAAAAAAGGTGCAAAAGGAGAAGCAGCTCGTCGTTTACTCAAGAAACTTGAGGTTTGTTGGTTTTCTAAATTGTCTGTTAGTTTTTATTTGTTTGTGGGAATGAGAACCGAGAGGGGATCAGGAAAAGAAGGAAATTTATTCTAATATTTGCTTGTAACTTGATCCCAATTTGGAAATTTTGGCTCATGTTTCAAGCTGGGGCTCTGGTGTTAGGATTTCTGGGTTGTAGGGTCAAAGCCAGGGTTTCAAGGTCTAGGGTTCTGAGTCCTAGGTTCGGGATTTTTTGTTCACGTGTCTTGGTTCAGATCTGAGGTACCAAATTGTTGCTAATGAGTAGTCTGCTGCATCTCTCTGATTGTTCAGTTCCCTTCACTAAACGTTGTTAGTACTGTATTACTTTGTCATGGAACAGGAAAGAGGTATTTCATTTTCCAAGAAGAGGAAACTGGATGCTGACCAATTAGGTGATTCCTCTTCCCTTGACATCAACCATAAGGTCAGCGACCAAGTAACTGTCAAAGATTCTTCAGCGTTAATGGTCTATAAAAGGCGAAAGACAACTGAAATGCCTCTAGCTGTTCCACCAACTGGAGTTTCTCCTTCAGTAATTGCCAGGAAAACCTCTAGCCCCAACAATGCCGCCCCAGGTTTGCACCATTTATTCGTTCTCATTTTCTATAATTGAAGTGATCCCAAATTTTGAGATGATTTTGTTTACTCTGTACGAATTAGTGCAAGGATCCATGATATTTGACATTTTTGCATGATAATCTCTTTCTTCCTGTTTGTTCGAACGGGTGAAATGTATTCCAAATTGTATGATTAACGTTCAAAACTGTTTTTCACAAATGAATTGGTAAATTGATAGATCACTGGAATGCATAAAAGCATTTGCTTTTCTTAATCTACTTCATGCTCGCTGACAAGATCAAGGACAAGATCAAGGATTGCTTTAAGTGGCTTCATTTCTTTAGAGATTCAGATGGGAGCTATGGCTTATCATATGTTATTATTAAGCATTATGTTATTAATCTACTTCTTGCTCGCTGTGGGTTCTTTTATGCAGTCATTAAAGCAATCAACATGAAGAAAGGAGGGCCTCGATCTGCTCTTTTTGCTCTGTGCATGAAACAACAGTGGCCAAAGCCGGGCTTTAAAATAACAGAAACTCAGTCAAGGTTAGTCCATAACCAAATCCTACAAATCTACTACAAAATTGTGTTTTAGTTTTTATTATTTTGGCCTCACAACCGTCTTTCTTCCCGTAGAACTCCAATCACATTTGGTGAAAGCTCAACCAAGTACTTCAACAGTTTTGTCGCACAAGTAACCTTGCACATACCCAACTCCGGCGTCATTGAATGCACAGGAGATGCTAGACCTGACAAGGGGAGTTCAGAAGATTCTGCAGCCGTCGTCTTGTTTCAAGAGCTTCAACGGCAGGGAAGAGTTGTAATTGGTGGCTGATAAGATATCTTTTTCCGGCTAGTTTCATAATTTAAGAATCGGAGGGTTTAATAATTTTCGAATCCACCATCCCAGTTATCTTTGTTCTTATGGAGCAGTTGGGATCTCGCATTGCCATGGATCCATGGAGCATAGTTTATCTCAATGTAAGTGGATTAACATCACCAGGAATAAAACTGTAAATTATGTGCTGCCTTTACCCCCTTTTACTCTCCTTTCTCTTACTCTATGTACTTAGTTTTTATCTTATTTTATTTTACTTATATTTCGGGTTAGTCAGATGCTTGAAGATGAAATTACTTTTTACCGTCTTAACAAATTAAGACGTGAACGCTGTCTTAACCAATTGACCGAACATAGTATCAAGTGATCTTTGAATTCCAACATGTCGCGTATCTGACTCTTTATAAAGTAAAAGCAACCAAGGTAATGAGACTTGGTATTTCGGGATATTCATGTATCAATTCATATGTTTTCTTTGGTAAAAACTACAAATGTTGGGGGAATTTACTCATCCAAAACTTGTTACGCACACAAATTTTATACATTTGAAGTAGCTATAATCTCGTAAAATCCTATATAAAGAAATAACTATTATTAGCACTTCAAAAATCTATTAATAAGGACGGCAGAAGTTTCCAAATCATGGCCTTGAAGAACTTTAGTTTGAGCCCCTTCAAGACTTGGAGGAAGTGAGGGGAAGATGATCTTTAGGCTCTAATTAACAGCTCATACACATTGCTGCTGTTCTCTCCGTTGACGCGCTTCAACATTTCAAAACTTTTACGACTGCCTAGAAAGTCAATCCGCCTAAAAATTGCGTAACCGCGTTCTTCTGTTTCTTTACTGGAGTACACCGATCGAAGCCGATCAGCATGCCTTGAATCTGTGTGTATTGCAGACTCTATTTCAAGGGCTGACATGTTCTCCTGCAGTACAAATACACATGAGATTATAAGACTTTCCCAACATTAAGCCGGTGACACAGGAATCCGGAGGGGAATGTCTTATTGTGTACCTGATAAAATGCATAGATATGATCCAACACCTGCAAGCATGTGAACCCGTTATCGCTGACAAATGTTCTAGAAGATGGCCCCATCTCAGCAAATCGGTCGACAGGAAACAGGATAGTAAGAAAATGGTTTTTGAATATCAATTCAGATTTCTCACTGCAGACAAATACAGAAGAGAGAACTGGTGTGAGATTATATGACAAGTTGGGGAAATTAGTTTTCATTTGGGAGTGGGAAGGAAGGAGATCAACAACCTTTCCTTGAGCGGTCTGGTTAAGTTTGCAAATGAAGCTTCGGAATCCTTTCCATCACCTTTTGCATCAAAGAATACAGATGTATGATGTTCGCTACCATCTTCAACACTGACACTTTCGGTGTAGATTGAAGCCGTTGATGTTGGTTCAGATATTGACCAGCAGATTGAATCCAAAAGGCTGATAGGGGTTATTGGACGCATTGGCGTTTGGCAAGTCTGCGAGAAAAAGGCACATAAATAAGAGGGTTCACCATGAAATTTTTTCACAACAAATGTAACGAATTCACTTATGAGGCACTAAAGAAGAAGCATAGATTGATCAAACACCAAAGAGAATCCAACAAAATTAATCTTTACCTGCATATGAAGGCCGCGACGATTTCTGACCCCAGTTTTAGCAGAATTCACAATCTGTTGTCTCTTTTCATGGCTTGGTTTATTTCTATAAACTTGAACATCTTCAGGGACTTTTCCCTCATCTGTTTCCTATTAGATAAATAAAAAAATATTGTCAAAATACGAACTTGGGCATACCAAAATTATATCACTACTCATCCATTGTGTAGAAAGATACCCCATCTGCAATGCCATTCTGCAACTCTTCAAGCATCGTACCAACTTGTCTGGCCAAATCTGCAGACATGTGCACAAGCCGTTGCACACACTTCTCTTTGGCTGTTTTCAAAACCCACAGTGGCTGCGGCACATCAAACACCAATAAATTTCATCGTACTAGAAAAAGTATCAAAGCACTCCTGAAATCTCTAAATTACGAGTGATTTCATCAGTTGTCTACGATACAAGGAGGAACAATACGAAGACAGCCAAAAGTTATTATATTGTAAACAGTGCTGATTCAAATAAACCAAAGAATGTCTTGCAGGACTCACTGTAACGATATTGCTTGAATGGCCAAGATATTTACGACTAGAAGACCCTTCGCACACTACATGACTGGCTTTACAACCAACAAACCATTGATCTACAAATGTGGCACCCTCTCTACTAGCAGCCTCCATAACCTTGCAAAACAGACAAAACGGTACAGGTAAAACAAGGATAACAAAAGACTAAAAGAGAAGTTTGTGTTTCAAAAGAAACCAGGCAACTTTTGCCTAGAAATAACTTTACCTTTTTCCTCAGTTCAGATGAAATGTCTAAGTCGACATACATGGAGTGACCAGACAGAGTAGAGTGACTAGAGTCAGTATTTCTGGTAGACTCTCTTCCGGGAAAGGAAAAACGTGGTTCTTCAATCGTGTCCAACTGCTTGGCTCCACGAACACCAACAGGAAGACAAGTGTTTTCCGTGCCAATTAACCCAACGAACCTATTCAACTCATTTAAACGCATACCATTCTCCCCAAAACTGTTGATACTGTAAAGTGATTCACTCAGCCTCACTGCAACACACAAAAGCAAATGGATTTAGACTGACTAATCAAGTAAGAATATATACCAATACCAATAGAGCGTTTCTCGCCAGACCAACGTAAAACTTAAGAAATGAAGGTAGCATGTAAGTAAGATGGTCTTTTTTACCATTCTTCCTAACACTATCCACAAACCATCCAATGGTAACAATAGACAGACCATTTTTTGATCCATGCTTCTGAGCATGCTCAAACTTGCGTCCACCGAAGCTGTAAAACTAGTTAAAGATTGCACTCAAGCCTTACAATTTACACAAATAATAACACCAAATGTATCAAAACACTGATAAATTTCTCCCAAATATTAATATACAAAAAAACAAAACAAAAAACGGAAAGTTCGATAATTTCGAAAATTAAGGATATTTGGACCACCAAATGGGTACATTGAGGATCCAACTGAGTGCTATACTGGCCACTTAATCTCTCAGTTGCTTCCTTGACTTGTTTCCTTGCTTCTGCCAAAGCAACAATGACAATTATTAACAGCTACAAATTCTAAAAAAATATAAATATGAAAACACATTCAATCCATCACATTGTCTTCTTTTACCTTTGGATAGGCCAGTAACGCAGATAACAAGGCCGGCAAAGGGTCCGCCGCCTGATCGAGCCACCGCCTCCGACCCAACAGAGGATACGGCCGGCGATGCTGGCTCAAATGGTTGCAGAGCTTTAGAGGAAGGCAATGGAGATGGTAACCCAACAGACAGCCAAGAGCAACCATTGCTCTTCACCACTTCCACTCTTCCACCGGTACCGCCACCCATTACAAATTCACCATTACCCACCAAGTCTCCGTTAGACTTTCCGATAAAAAATGTAAATAAATTTTACAGACGGTGAAATTAACACCAGCATTCCATGAACTTAGAAAAAACTCAGAAAAATCTCAAAAGGGTAAGTGGAAAAAAGGACAAAGAACAAGAATTGATGGGTGCGCGGGAAAAAAAAAGGGTTTTTGAATGAAGTAAAAATTGAGCAAACCCAATTGAGAAATGGAAGAAATGATGCGACCTCAGCAACGAAAATTGAAGAAAAAAATTGCAGAGATGGAGGAATAAGAATCTTATAGGAAAGGGAAGAAGATAAAGCAAACAAAGTGGTTGGCAGGCAATGAGAGGAAGAGAGAGATATTCAGAGAGGTTGCAGACAAAGAGTGAATTTTGGGTTGGGAGACTGCACAAGTAAATTCGCTTTCGAACACAAAACAAACGGAATGACTGAAAGAATCTGAAAAAGATGGATTCTTTAGGGGGAGAGAGAGAGAGAGAGAGAGAGCGAAAAAAGAGAAATTTTGAATTACGTGCCGTTTGTTTAAGATTTTGAGTATTTACTTACTTTATTTGCTCTCTTTTTAGCAAAGTTTGGTTCGAGGAAACGGGAATTGCAACGCAAATTGCAAAGAGAATTCAAAGTGCCAGCGAGCCTTTGGTCAAAACGCTTTTTGTTTTCTCAATTGGGCCTGTGATTTTGTTTCATGGGTTGGCATCTTTTTATCCGATATGTCCTTGTAGTGGTATATTTAAATTAATTATATGAGTTTAATATTATAATTTAGATTGATATATTTTTTTTTTTTTTGTATTTTTTGCTTACAATCAGTGTACATCAAAATATAACTCTAGTTATACAACTTGCACATTCTTTTTTATTTAGAGATGATGGAATACCACATTTTGTAGACTATAATCATCTTTCTATTAGACTTATAATTTAGATGTGGTTTATAAAGCATGATTTTTTTGCATTTTTCTTATCATTTTTGGTCATCGTATTGAACAAAAATTAAATGAAAACAATAAAGATGCGTAAGAAATTAAATATGATGGTTTAAATAGTACCAATTTTCGCATAAATTAAGCCACTTAATCAAGATAATATTTCGTTCCGTTGTATTGGAGTTCAAATTTCCTAGCTAATGTTTAAAAAGAATTGACCTCGGTTCTAGGCATTTGGTGGGGGATGCTGTAAAATTGTCTATAAAAACTAATGCACAATATTTCGATAGCATTGGTACCACGGCTGAAAGAAACAATGTGGACAATTTGCGGTCATTATTGTTTTGGTGGAAATTCAATAGCTGTCCTTTCGGATGTCAATCATTTTCCACGAATTGATTGACACTGATTGACACCTTTGGCATTGGGAGAGATTTTCCGATTGACGAAAACACTATCCGATATATTAAACATCATAATATAAGTAGTTGAAAATTTGAAATTTTTTTTCAAACTCACTTGTATTATAATATTTAAATATCAGATCGTGTTTTTAGCACGCTAAAAAATTTCTCTGGCTTTGGGTCATCTACAAGTTGACCCCAAATTATTTAATGACCAAACTCTAATATGAACTTAAGTTTAGGGATGTAACGTGCAACCAAATAAATAATTTCATGATTTGACTCCATGATGGTAACCACTGAGATGAACGATTAGTCGTGTCATTTTAGTTTGTCTACAATTATTATGATATCATGGATGATGAGTTATAACAACACAAAAACAAGTGCTACAATTAGTCGTCCACACGCTTATCTTGACTTACGGTTTCCACAAACATAAATGGCCAAAATCAACCTTCCGGGTGCGCATGCGCTACTAAACCGAGCATTTAAGCTATGAAAGTGACATTATATAATCAACACGAGAACAAGGAACAAGAACATACTTGGATAATATTAACAGAAAACATGGCAACCTGGTAAGTAACTCCATAGGAATCAAAGAAATGGAGCAATACACAAAACCATACAATGCAGGTTCAAAAAAATGGGTCAAAAAATCAAATGGGGTCTTTCTTCTTTTCCTATCGCTTTGGAGTGAGGTTCGGGTTGAAGAAAGAGAAGCGAATACAGGGCACACCAATCATATCGAACACCGCAATTCTCAATGAATCTCAGGCAAGCAGTGGTAGTCGGCAGCAATATGGTAGTTATCAGCAGTCAGTCACTCAATCTTCTTGGAAGTATAGAATTTTTTTACAATATCCGATTTCAATTTGCATCCACGAGAGAGAGCTTCGAGGACCATGTCGTCAATTTTTTGCTCCTCCTTCTCATACACGTAGAAAACTATGAAGGCAGTGGGAACTCCTGGAACAATAATAAAACAAAGACACTAAGGGTCAAGGCAGGGCAGAAAGAAATTTTTTGATGCCTAAACTACCAAAGGATGAGTGATGTCAGTCCAAAGAAATATTAAAGTACCCCCCCATGACCATCCAACCAAGTCCGTACACAGCTAAATTATCCGGTGTAAGAATCATCAAATGACGGGTTCTTTAAAATTTACACCATATCCTGCTGAGACTAGTTCACGAACAGCTTATCCCAAAAACAGGCAATTGGAAGAAATTTAAATACCATAAATTCAATGTCCTAAACATTGGTTTGTTCATTAATTACCCAAACCAGTTTTTCAGACTTCCAAACTTCCCTTCTATTTTCTAGATGAAGTTTAATGATTTTCTATATAAAACTGGACCGAATTTCAGAATGTCAGAACTTTTAATATGGTTCAAAGTTCAAATAAAATCCCAATGCCTTGAATTCTGCAAGTGAGTGAAAGAGAGAAGGGAGATACCTATAACATATAAGTTCTGAAGTGAAAACGCTCCAAGGAAGCTAAGAACCAGTAGGGTGAGAGTAACCTACAACATCACCAGTAAATATAAAGTATACGTCAGAAAAGAAGAGAACAAAAGGACGAAGAGAGCTGCAACTCTACAAATTACTAGTATATGCATTCTGCACCTCTTCAGGCACATTCTAGGCCAGTTTTGGACCTTAAAAGTAATGCATCAATGCAATATGTGAACTTATACACTATCAAAAGAATATATAGCTGGAAGCACAAAAGAAGATGGGAACGGCAGATAGATACCTTAAGGAACAAAATCCCATCATTTCCCTTGCCAAGAGATTTCAATGTTTTAACAGATGCATTCCATGATGAAGCCACAGACTTGGCAATTTGTTGCGACGTCTCTTCTGATAAGTGGAAATGTGATGACTGAAGCTTCTCAATTTTGTATCCTAATCTGGAGCAGTGACATTTTTTTTGCAGTTAGAAGTCAGCTTCACTTAATTATGAGAGACGAGGAAAACATCAGTTTTCAAACAGAGCAGCTAAAGAATATGAATAGAAGAAGGGGCATAAACCATACATCTTTTCTGGTAAAACAGCATGAATGAACACGAATACTGAAGCTACCAGGAGAACCTTTGAAAGCATAGTAATAATTGTAGATCCAGGTACAACGAAGTTGTAGTAGATTGCAATCAAAACAAATAACGCCTTGAAGGTCTGTTTTTTATCCTTCCAGAGTAACGTGTCAGCAACTGTCAAAACCATAAGTGCAACACATGAGTGCATGTATACTTTTATTTTGCGCATGCTGAGTCAATCATAAGATGTCATTATGCCTGAATTTAGTTAACTTATAAAAAACATAGTTCAGTTAACTTATAAAAAAACATCAAAGTAAGGTGAGTAGAAACTGAAGATTCATACCCGTTCCGCTTCCAAGATATATTGACGCTTTAGATGGCCCTCCTCTTTTCAGTAGATGTTCAGCCCTCAAATGTGGGTATGCCTCGATTGTCCTTTTCAGACCCTCCTGAATAAAGTAAATAACAGTGTATCACAAGAAAGTACTTTATCCAGAATTTGAACATAAAATGCACAATGACAAGATGAGAGTACTTAGACCTTTTTAATTACTAAGTGCTCACCAATAGGAGATATAAGTTTAATGACACATTCAGTATTCTAATATAGCACAACCAACATCCTAATCACAGGTTCAAATGTTCAAGGTGGTGAAGGTGTGAAAGAGAAGAATATAAATGTTGGATGACCCACCATCTAGAGTGCTCAGCGCAATTCTCTTGTATTAACCAAAGGACTTATCACTCTTTTTATGAAAAAATATTGAACCTGAAGTGATACGATGGGTGTGTAGCCAATTCGATCCTGTGCCTTCGAACATTTAAAAGATCGGGTGCAAGAGAGGAGTCTAATTCTCGAAGGGGTCAACTGTGGAACCTTCATCCCATATGGGCCTAACAGCTTATATGTCAACTCCACCATATGTGCAATTGGCATCACAACAAATGCAGGGATTTTTATTCTTGGCCTGCAAACAACATTCATTCAGGGAAAACAAAAAAGAAAGAACTTGAACAATCATTATAATAGGCATTGAGGAGTATGGTGATTACATTTAAGGTCTGCTTAAAATGAAAGGATTACGAAAAGGAAGTACCTTTCATAACCAAGACCTTCTAGAATAAGTGAAACAAACTCCCAAAACTTGATAGGTTCCATATTGGTTATAAAATATGCCTGCACACGCAGTATCTTTTTAGGCTTTTAGCTAGAAATGCCGTCTCCAAGTAGTTTAGCTTGACATCAAGCAGACATGCAAAGTAAGTTTCAAAAAAGCATGACCATCCCATGTTTTAGAGCAAATATAAGGTAAGAAAACAGTGAAGGAATGACTCAGTAGAAAAGATAAATCTTAGTCTTACATCTACAGTCAGATAATTCAATGAAACTTTGACAGTTTATTCCCCAAAAAGCTTGCACTTCCCGAAGCATGCAAGGCTCTCTTGTGAGCTTCAGAAAACGTATTGAACCAGTATCCAACAAATCTTTTTTATGGTAGTAAATAAATCAATGCAGTTGAGTAATTAAATCCTCTCTTTATTTCATCATCTATAATACTTAACAGCCCCTCACCCTCTCTTATATTCATCCCAGGTGTCAAAAAGCTTAATAATATATTGGTACCTGCCCCGCCGCTTTATCTGCAACTGTCCCTTCTGATGCAAGAGCTCGCTCTGCACATATATGCGCATGTGCCACATTTTCAACATATGTGAAATCATAAATGTTGTTGCCATCACCAATGATGTACTGTTCAATTGAGATAAAGAGGAGAAAACAATGAACATCAGATATCGTGAAAGAAGGTGTTAACTGATAATGGTGTAAGGGAGATGCAAGACTAAAGTAACAAGACCACCACTTACTTACCTTGGATTTCCCTGCCCTGGCAGCAACTACCAAAGACGGAACGAGCAACCTATCACCAGGTCCAAAAATGCTGCTAGGGCGAATGCAACATGTAAGAAGCCCCTTAACACCATTTGCCTTGATCACCAATTCTTCTCCCTGAGCTTTCGTCGCCGAATAGAAATCATTGTGCTGAAACAAGTTACAAAACACAACCCGTACTCAAAATCGTAGTGAAACATTGTGTTTCTTACATCACTGGAAATTCATTAACAAATACTAGTACCTTAGGTGGATATGGCAACGACTCATCCCCGTCAACAATCCCA